AAAGGTGGTGTGGTGGGTCGAAGTTTGTCAAGGTAACAGGATATGTTACAAATTAAGATGGTACAAAAGTGGTACAGTTCACCAAGATGAGATTTTTATGGTATTAATATCTAAGAACAGCAAAGGTGCTTGAATTACATTTTAACATTTTGTGGAATCTAACACAGTTACATGTGCCACAAGTAATAGGCAACTTTGAACAAAACCAAAACATCATCTTCATTAACAGTCATACTCTGTTAACTTCCCAAGTTATTTCATGACTTTACTGACACCCAGTAATGCCAAGTTTTTCTGATGTAATACACATGTATGCTGTATATTATACAAAAGGATAAATATGCAAACTGAGGAAGAATGATTACTTAACACCAGTTTGTGATGTTACTGACTGAATATTTCACTTATTTTGTTAAGTTAAAATTGTCATTTTGTAGTGTTTCAATGAATGTGTATTTAAAAACTTGCAGAATTGTTAGTTGTAAATTTCTCCCTTAATATACTTTTTTACCATGTGTTATATAGTGCATATTTAAATAAGTTTTATTCTATCATTTGTAAGAAGTTCAGTACTGATCTTTTTTTTTAATTGTTTCAACTCATGTTAAATAGCTGAAATATCCTCTGTTGAGATATTTTTATTTTACTTTTGATGATCACATAATACAAAATAAGTTTCAGAGTAGGATTTTGAGATGAGAAGATTGTCTTCCCAAAAACTTGACTTAATTTCACAACAGTGTTCTTATATGTAATGTCAAAATATTTCAGTGAACTTGGTAAGATCTTCTAAGTCGTTGGTTTTTAATATATATATATATATATATATATAGCAAACTGGTGACCAATTATTATTATTTCTGTATGCATACAGATCACAGGTGTAGCAAATCCTGGCAAAACTGTCTCAATTTTCATGCGAGGATCAAATAAACTAGTACTAGAAGAGGCTGAACGGTCCCTCCACGATGCCCTCTGTGTCATTCGCTGTTTGGTGAAGAAAAGGTACAAGATAATAAATTTTCTGAAATGTGATAGCTGTAAAAGTTGGGTTTTAATTTACATTGTTTTAAACTATGAATTATCATTATAATCATTGTAGTTTTTTTTATCTCTAAGAAACTTCTTGGAAATGTAAAAATTTGCATCTGTTTTCCTTAAAAATTAAATATTTAGGAACTTTTTTTTTTATCCATAGGGAAATTTTGAAAAATGCATTTAGTAGAGTGCTTTGTTGATATTAAGTTTTACTCTAGGGCTTTGATTGCTGGTGGAGGAGCACCCGAGATAGAAATCTCACTACGACTTTCAGAACATGCACGTAGCTTAACAGGGATGGAAGCTTACTGTTACCGTGCTTTTGCCGAAGCTTTAGAAGTTGTCCCATACACACTAGCTGAGAATGCTGGCCTAAGTCCCATAAGTACTGTTACCGAACTGAGGAATCGGCATGCTCAGGGCGAAAAAACTGCCGGAATAAATGTTAGAAAAGTGAGTGGTTTTCAAGTTAATGAGCAGGTTGAAGTAGTGCAAAGGTGTGCATAAAAAAATTAATCCTTATCTAACCACTATTAATTGTTATCAGGAAATTACAAGTTAATTATATAACCAATATAGAATTTGGTAAGAGCAGTGACCATAGGGTAAAAGAATAAAGACTTAAAAATCTTAAGATAACTAAAAAGTATGAGCTGTACTTAGAAAACTTATTGAAGAACAACATCTATGAATTCCAGACATTCATTTTTTGAAACCTTTCCTGATGATAATTTTTGTTTATAATACCATAAATTCACAGGTTGCTTGTTATAATTTAAGTTTGATATAATCAATTAGGTTATTCTGGGTGTTATTTACTAGTTAAGAATATTTGGGATGTATATTTTAAAGCAAGACTAAATTATGTTAATGCATTAGTATTTTATTCGTGGTAATATTACTGGTACTTAAGGCAATTTATTAATTGTGTTATCAGTACAGTATTAAAATTCAGACTGTTTGTTTAGCATGAGGGTAGGTGTAAAGTAGTATCAGAAACTGGGTGGGTATGGAGTACGAATATAAAGTTTGGATAGGAAGAGGTTTAATTAGTAGGCTGTTACATTGTTTAAAAAATATCCGTTTTATGTAAGCTTGTAGTTTTTGTGGTATTTGTACTTGATGAATTATTATTTTTTAAACATAACCATGAAATTTTTGTTTTTATTGTTGTGTTTTCCCATTTGTAGTACACTGTGTGACTCTTTTTCTTCTTCTTCTTCAAAGTCCTAGGAAATTTTTATAACATAAATTGAAATTTCAAATCTAGGTTGGATACATTTTACAAGTATAGGTTCTGAAATGGAATTTAAATGATGTGAAAACTGAATTTTAGTAAACAAGCTTTAACCAGTTTATCAATAATACCAGCTGATGAGAACATCACTGCTGTTTTTAGTTTTTGAATGTTAAGTTCTGTTTGTCAGAACAATCATAGAATTTAACCGAACAGTAAATACAAAACCTTATGGTACTTTTTGTCAGTTGATTAGTTTGACTAATATGCATCCTGAGCTTAAAATTTTGATTATTAAAAGAATTTGCTTAGAAATTCAGTGCTTGTATATATACACCTGGAAAAAAGTTAAGCACCCCCGTGTTTTTTTCAAGTGATTCAGATTCGACGTTCTTGTGACTGATTATAAATTACCATTCAATCTAAATGTATTTATCAAATGAAATTATGCATTATTGGGCACAAGAAAACAAGATTATCACCGTAAAATAACAATTTTTAATTTACATATCATGACATCAAAATATGGACAGTTTTCACGCTTAAAATTATCTTTAATAAGTATTGTCAGTGAAAGCTCAAAAACGTTATTGAATTGTCAAATCACAAAATGTCAGTCATGACCCACACATTGATAATTAGTCATCGAAAAGTCAATATCGGGCATACTGCCAGTTAGACGTCTGATTTGTTGAAGCGTTATCTGTCGCCATTCTCGATGCAAGT